TTTTTCCCAGTGTTCTCTTTAACAGCCGGTGGTCATTGTGACAGTTTTTGGTTTTATTTCACCCTGCCTTTTGCAATTGATTTTAGTTTTAGTTGAACGCGAACCTTTACCCACGACGGCTGAGGAAATTTTTTCAAGTCACTGGAAAAAATAAAAAAAAAAAAAAATCAAAGAAACTCATATACATACAATACATACGTGTGCGTGGGATAAATCGAATGAAAATCGATTATACGCCACGTTGAACGCAGTCAAAAGTGAGGGAAAAAAATTGCGCCGAACGTTTGCAGTCGCGGATTCAATTTAACGCCAGACTTGAGTCTATCCTTTGCCTGTAAATCGCAGGAGATATCGAAGGAAATAAAATATATACATGTATATATAGACACGGCGCCAAATTGAGATGTCCTGTCAACGCCCAACGATTGCCATCAACGATTGCTGCCGCTCATCGGGACTTTGATTGGGGCGCAGGCTAATAGGCCGGCATTATCCTTTTTTTCGCCAGCTCAAATTACTTGGCGCAGGACCTTGGGCAGGATGTTCCGCAAACGCAAGCAGCAGCAATTGAGATTGAAACAGCGTCCCGGCGACCGGAAACGGAAATTGTTGTTCTGCATTTTTAAAAGAGGTTCGCAGAAAGCCTTTCGTTGTTTTGTTTCATTTTACCACCCACTCTCTCACACTTGAGCAATGAATTTTTAATGTGTAGGCGTGGCACAACCCCTTACTCAATTATCCCCGCAAAAACAAAAAAAAAAAGAGTTAAGAACAAAAGGATCTCGAATCCTTTATCCCTGTTTCGTCTCCCTCCCAGAAGGGTAAAAAAAATAGAGGAATGTAATCACTTGTTGAGTGCCTTTGTTGCTTGGCTCCTTTCTTGCTGTTTTTTTCACTCTGGCTAATAGTCGGCCAATTAATTGCCTGTCTGTCTTGGGGCTCTGCCCTGGGCCATCATTAATCAGGGGCGAAAATTGATAAGCGCAAATGATTTAATAATAAATTAAAACCAAGGGGGTAGCTCAAAGCAAAAAACTAATAAGGTGAAAAGTGGGCTATAAAGTTGTAGTTTAAAAGGATTTAAAAATAATTTACAATTAGAGAAGACAGATAAGATCAGATTCAGCGTAGTTACAACTAATTTATGGCTAAAAGCAGTTGGGAATTTTAGTGCAAAACAAACTGTAAATAAGCCTTTGTTGAGGGGACCTTTTCAGAATTTGATGTAGCTCTGTAATATTTTCTCGGATTAACTTGAAATAACTTCTAAATATAAATTCCAATTAAAGTTGGCAACTTTTTATGGTCCTTCATGAAACGTGTCCCTCCTCAGTCTCCTCTCTCTCTCTCACTGATAAAATTTAATTATGTGCCTGCCTCAAGACAAACACTGACGGTAATTTTAATTTGATTTGTCGTGTCACTCACTTAGTCGTATGGCCACAAACAAAACAATTCAAGAGCAAACATCACGTGGGCAGCATAAAAAAGCCAATGAAGTGGCAATGTCTCGGATACTCTAGAGTTTTTGGGGATATATACAACGACGGTTACTTAACTTAGTCTGAAAAAAATATTTATAAAATATATATACCAAAAATGCTTTTTATTAAGAGAACTCAGAAACTCGGAACTTCTTGGAGATTTCTAAATTATTTTTAAATTAAGCTCTTAAAGAAGTTTTGTACATTTTGGGTACAAATCGAATTGATTTCTAGGTATTTGTTTTTTTAATTTTTCGTCTCCAATTTGTCACATTTTTTTTAAAACAAATTTAAAACAACTAAGAAAGACTTAAGAAGGAGAGATTTGAAATCACCTTTAAAAGTGTCTAAAAGTATGCATTGAAAAATGTCTCAAATTTCTTTGTCATATTATAACTCAAAGCATAGTTTTAGGCACCATTTTAAGTTCATTTTGAAATCTCAAAAAATCCTCTAAATATATCTATTATAATATTTTTTAGTGCATCTAAAAGTTCACTTTGCTTTACCAGACTTCCCCTCGTATAATACTTGCTCATTTGATATTGTTATTTACCTGAGGGGCCCATACAAACACTTAACTTTATTTAACCTGAATTATTCCTGCCATTCCTCAGACCACCGAATATTCTCTTTTATCTCACCGCCTTTTCTCACTTTCTTTCTCGTTTTCTTTTGCAGGTAAGTTTGACATTGATGGACTGGCTATAAGGCGGCATATACTACATACAATACATATATTCTGCAGAATCGGAGGAGACTGTAAGTGGGTGTATGTCTCTGTAGGAGACAAAGTCGCCCCAAAAGAAAATATGCAATGACTTTTGACATTCCCCCTGTTCCGCTCTTGTGTGTGTGTGCGTGTGTGGAAAAGCCATAGATGGCGGAAATTTGGAAAAGCGTGGCGCGTGTGGGTTCTTTGCTTTTCCAAAAGTCGCCGCCTCCTGTGGCTTACCGTTATCCGCCCCGCGATGCAAATTAGATTTAGATTTTCCCCAAATTTTCCTCACGCACACATCTTAAAGTTTGTTCTAAGCTCAAAGCAAAAAAAATGTTGGGCCTCCTGCTGATGACGGATTTTTCCCCGCTTTCTCTCTAGATTTTCCTGGGGAAAAAGAAAAACAGTTTCTGTTTATTCTTTTTTTTTTTTTGTAGGCTGCGACAAAGTCCTAAGAAAACAATGGCAAATTAATGGCAAGTTAAGTGAAAAGTTGATTGCCATTCTCTTTCTTTTTTTTACGCTTTGACGAACCTTAAAAGGTGGCAAATGAAGCGGCAAACTTCAAGGGATAAAGGTGATATTTGTGACAAAAATACATATGTTTTGTGGGGTATAGGGAAAAGTAAGGAAAACAGAGGGGAAATGTAGTTAACTTTGAAAAAGAAAAGGGTTTTTTGTAGGTTTTTTTTTGTTTTTTATGGTACCAAAATTAGGTTCTCTGAAGGAACTAAAGAATTATTTATTAAATTTTATTTTTTACAAGTATTTTTATTTATCTGTACAAAACAAAAACTAATTAGAAATGTATTTCAATTATTTTATAATTTTTAAACATTTTTCAGAACATTTTTTTTCATTTATATTTTTATTTCAATACTTTTATAATCCTTAATCATGTAGATTTCTTATGTTTCTGTACAACAATAAAATTTATTATAAATGTTTTTTAATTACTTAATAATATTTAAAAATATGTTAGCTATTTTTGTGCCTTCTTAATATGTTTATAAAAACATTTATTCCACTTAATTTCCTTATTATCTTTAGCTTTCTTGTTTAACTTTCTTTATTTATGACTTTCCACATTTTTGTTCACTCCTTTCTTTCGTTTACTCCTTCTGCTCCTTGAGTTTTCTCGCCAATCAAGTGGAAAACAACATTAATATAAACATTATTCAACATTTAAGCACACACATTTGCCTTATCTAAATGCATTTATTCAGGATGTTGCACATATTTTTCATTTCGGGCCAATTTCCATATGCATTTCGATGCTCTCTTTTTTTCTACGGTGCTCACAATGCTCCTGGAAAAAGGATGCTGCACCACTAACACACACACACACACACACTTATGCATTATGCAAATGGCGACACTGAAGCTGACGGAGAGAAATACGTGAGAAAAAGAAAACGAGAGAAAAGGAAAGGGAAAGCAAAAGCTTATGCGAGAGGGGGCACTGAAAGGGGCTATCAGAGCCTCAAAGAAAGTCCTTGCCACTTGCAACACTGCAATAAAATTTTTTTTATAGGTTTGTTTTAAAATAAAATAATTTTTTTATACTTTTATTTATATTTTTCAACTACAAAATCAATTTAAAAAAATGTTTTCTTTGGTTAAAAAAGGTTTTCCATACTTAAGCTGAATTTTACTTTTAGTTTTAAGCATTTAGTTGGCTTAAATTATGATCAATGATTATTTTTAAAATGTAGTGGTATTTTGTAGAATTTTTTTTCAAGTGTATTGAGTGCCGCCTTTCCACTTAACCCATTGCGTGCCTGGGACAACATGAGGCAACTTAGTTGCCATAATTTGCACATTTTAGCTGCGATGCAAATGCACGCCGACGCATGCCAGCGACAGTTGACCCCCCACTCTCTGCACTTTCCACCCACTTTCCTCACATTTTCCTCTCCCCCCTCCCCCTTGCCACATGCAAAATGATGATATACGAGGCAAAGCGAATGTTTTTGATAGCCAACGGAAATTGCCAAGCCAAACCAGAGAAGCAACAAAACACGACAGCAACAAATTCGTAAATATTTTAAAATAAGCCTTTAGCATTTTCCACACACTCAAGTACACTGTGGAAAAATTATAGGCTTCTGGCATTGGTTTTTGAAATTCATTTAGAACTTTGGCAGAAAAAATTTTTTTTTTTAATTTATAGAATATTTTTTTGAGTTTTTAAGCCTCTAAAAATTTTAAACTATTTAAAAAATACTTGAAAATGTATTTTTTAATTCTCAGTGTAAGTAGAGACCTTAGGGTTATTCTCTGCACAGAGAGAAAAATTAATTGACTTTCTTGACATGCGTTTAAAATTATTTTAAGACTTTTTAAGAAAAAATATAGTTATTATTTAATATTTAAAGAGATGTAATTTTGTTCTTTAAATCTCTTAAACTTAAAACGAGATAAAAAATAGATTTAATACGTATTTTTTAACTCTCAGTGTAAGAAGATCCCTTGATTTAAATCGAAAATATTAAAAAATCAATTTTTCAATAATTTGTATATATACAGTTTTAGCTTTTTCTTTATGTTTTGTTAATAAGAATTGTGAATATATATAATTTCTCAAAATACAACAATAAACTCCTCAACAACATTTCTCAAATTCATATTTTTTCTACATGTTTTTAAGTGCCATTTTGGCTCAGTGTATGAATTCCCCGAGACCCTTACACCGCCCAACCTTTTTGCATTTGGCAATTGACTCAAAGCAAATGACAGCAAATAGTAGTAGTAGTCTCCCGGATCTTTATCTGTTTTATCAGGTTTATTTGTTCATTAGGTCAGAGTCATAGTGTTCGTAGTCGTCGTCGTCATCAGCAATTATCGGGGTACAGTGTGCCCTCGCTAAGCTTAACGCCTCAGGTAGAGCGAGCTGTAAGGATAGGCTCCATAGCCGCTGTAGGCGTAGGGCGAGGCATAGACTCCGGCAGTGTATCCAGCGGTGTAGGGGGAGGCGTACAGGCCGCTCGAGTAGGCGTAGGGCGTGGCAGCTGCCACCACGGGGGCGGAACTGTAGGCGGTCAGGAACTGTGGCTTGGCACAGGCAACGGCCACCAGGGCGAACAGGCACAAAGCGAACTGGTTGAAAGGAGGAAAAAGAAGGAGAAAGGCGGAGGAAGCCTTTGATTAACCAAAATACATAATTGCCAGAGGGGGTTGGGCTAATAATAGTGGTAAAGGAAGCACAAAATTCCTTAGATATAGCTTTAAACGAGAGCTTTTTGTGGGTTTTATATAGTCTAAAGAGTGTTGAATGAATTTGTAATTCATTTTTAATTATTAAATTAATGATTTCTAATAATTAATACATTTTTAAACCAAAAATTACTCAAGAGTAATATGGAACTTAACAAGGAAGTCTTCTTTCATTTGAATAAATTTGGAAAATTAATTGATTTTAATTATTTTTAAAACATAATTCATTTATTTTTAAACCTATAAATCCTCTTGAGTAATCATGTAGGCTTGTAGAACTCCAGAAACTCTCTTAATCCTCAGTGCTTCCTCTTTTACCTCCTCAAAGTCTCTATAATACCCCCCTATATCCTTTATATACTCACAAACTTGAACATCTTGGTTGATTGCTGTGTGTTTTGGCTGCTGATTGAACAGAAACTGATATGATTAAATAGTAGAAAAATCGCTGGCTTTTATAGCAAAAGTTTAGTTGACGCCGAGTGGGTGGTTGCCGAAAAAAATAAATAAAAGGGCAAAGCCAGAGGTCACTCTTGACCGTGGCACGTCTGCTCATTTTCTGTTTCTACATTATTTTTCTACTATTCTATTTTTTTTTTGCCTTTTAATTTGGTTGTTGCTTTTGGGCCAAACGTCTTCGTCTTTATGGCCGCCTTGCGTTGCGTGCATTGCATTCGTAATAAAGCTGTGTTTACCTATGTTTGGCTGGATATATGTTTCTAACAATGAAGCCAGCGGAATAAAATGAAATAAGACACAGAAAAACGGAAGCTATCAGAAATTCCCGTAGCAAAATGCAATTTGACCTTTGGCCATGTTAATTTGTCTTGGGCCAGATTGTCAATTAACGCCAGAGATTTCTTGGAATATTTTTTGTTCAACTTTGGATTTCTAAAGGGGAATCCAAGGAGGATTTTTAAGGAGGGTATTTTTAACCAAAAATATTTAAGATATCAGGAAATAAGTAAATTTTTAAAATCTTTAATTTAGTTTGAAGATTAGCCCTGAGATCTTTCTTTTAAAAATATAATAAAAATAAAAAAAATCTAAAAATCTTCAAAACTCGCATAAAAACCCATTCATAGGTCCCAGAAATCGACAAGTCATTAAGTTTCTTTTTCAAGAAAAATTTTCTTTATTTCCAAACTATTTGCTCTCTCAAAATATAAATTGTACTAGTTTTATTATTTAAAAATCTTTAAAAAATCCCATAAAAAACTTGATAATATTCTCAAATTGCCAGCTAATTAAGTTGCCAATTCAAGGACATTTTTCTTTTATTTCCAAACTACATATTTCCCCCTTACTCTCTAGACTTTTCCTCCTTCATTGTTACGCTTTTCCTTTGCTCTGCAAACAATCAATTTGTCAAGTTGTAAAATTAAAGCAGCTTCTTACTTTTTTTTTGGGAAAGAAAGCAAAGCAATGAAAGAAACTGAAACTCTTCTTTCTCAGCTTTTCGTCTATTGTTGAATGTTGTGCATTTTGCATTTTAAATACAATATAAATTAAGTTGGCAGCTCTTTGGCATTGAGAACAGCTTTTTCGGTAAAAGATGCTCAGATGCCGAGATGCTCAGATGCTGAATGAATGAATGGCAGCCCTTTTATCAAGCTCCTCACAGTTAATTTTGCTGAAGGATAAGAAAGGGAAGCTAGTGTGTGTGTTTGTGTGTGCTTGCAAGATGTAAAACTGGTTGGCAAAGGTCGGGGAAATTTGGGGGAAAAACTGACATTGAAGACGAATTGTTCCGCCCGGAATGAAGTGGAGTTTTCTTGGGGGGCCCTGAACTGTGTGCTGATTTAATCTGCGATTACAGCTGAAAACGAGAAACTATCTTTGGGTATTTTTCTATTTTAAAATGAGGGAGGTTTCAAGGAAGTTTTAAAGAGAATTAAGAAGGGAAAATGAGGAATAAACTCAGAAAATAGGGCCTTTTAGTATTGGTTATAAAATTGAATATATTTATGATAATATAATACAAAAATTACCCTTACCTACTATAATCTTAAAGCCTCCTTCAGGAATTTTTCATTAAATTATAAATAGTCCATAAATAATATAATTTTAGACCGTTGAAATCAACAAAATTGTAAATATTTGTGGCAAAAGTTTTCTTAACTAATTTATATTATGAATTTGTTTTAATTAATTTATTTATTATAAGTTTTCGTTTCCGATTTCAGGTTTCGGTTGCTAGGTTTATTTTTTTTTCAGAAAAATACATACAGGAAATCTACAAAAGAACAAGCTAAAAAATAAATATAAAACATTATCTATGAAATAAAAATCTAAATAAGGTATATAAAATACATAAACAATTTTCTTAAATTTATTTTAATAAATATTAAATTAAATGACTTCGTTTTCATTAATTTTTAACACTTTTTAAACATATTTTTTCTTTAAAAATCCCTTGTTAGTTTTAAAGCCACATTTTTTCTCGCATGCTATAAAATAAATAGCACTGCTTGAAACCCAGTTGCTTGAAAACCCTCAGTTGTCTTAAAACTGTCTTTGTTTTTCGCTCTCTTTTCGTTTTTTTGTTTTACGTTTTTGTTTTCTGTGAGCCTGCGCTTTCGTTAGCCGGCATTTTTCCCTCTCAGTTTTCCTTCCATTTTCCCCCATTTTCCGACTCCACATATTACATGCTTCCGTTTCCCGTTTACATGTGCGCTATATAGTTGTAGTATTTACTATATATAAAAGCGGATTCTGTATGTAAATTTATGGCAGTGCGTGTGTGTTTGGCGTTTAGTTTCCAAAATGAAAACAAAAACAAGAAAGGAAGCTAACTTCGGCACGCCGAAGTTTGTATACCCTTGCAGATTGGTTTCGATGTTTATATTATAGATTTAAATGCTGAAAAGACTCACAAAACAGTGTTTCATTACATTTTACCTATACTTATTATGTTTACAGTTTGACACTTACAGTTTTACATTCCCAGCTTTACATATTTTATACATTTACCGATCGCTTCTATGGCAGCTATAAGATATAGTTGTCCGATTTTTATGAAATTTATACCAAAATTCTAGAATAATAAAAAAAGCGTATATCTCAGAGTAGATAAACATACGTTGAAAAACAACGAAGCAATAATTTTTTTCCTATTAATTTCCCGATCGTTCCTATGGCAGCTATATCATATAGTCGTCCGATTTTCATAAAATTTTTACCAAAATTCAGAAATAATATATAATGGCTACATCTAAAAAAATGTGCAAAAATATTGAAAAACAGCAAAGTTATAATATTTTTTCGAAAAATATATCGAACATTTGTATGGCAGCTATATGATATAGTCGTCCGATCCGGCCCGTTCCGACATATATAGCAGTGAGAGCATATAGAAGACTATATGCAAAGTTTCATTCAGATAGCTTTAAAACTGAGGGACTAGTTTGCGTAGAAACGGACAGACGGACAGACGGACAGACGGACAGACGGACATGGCTAGAACGACTCGGCTGTTGATGCTGATCAAGAATATATATACTTTATAGGGTCGGAAACGTCTCCTTCACTGCGTTGCAAACTTCTGACTGAAATTATAATACCCTGCAAGGGTATAAAAACACCGAAATTAGATTTTTTCTTGCAGTTCCCCGATCGTTCCTATGGCAGCTATAAGATATAGTCGCCCGATTTTCATAAAATTAAATACGAATTTCTAAAATAATAAAAAATGGCTATATCTCCAAGAAGATAAAAATACGTTGAAAAACAACGAAGTTATAAATTTTTTTCTGTTAATTGCCCGATTGTTCCTATGGCAGCTATAAGATATAGTCGCCCGATTTTCATAAAATTAAATACGAAATTCTGAAATAATAAAAAATGGCTATATCTCAAAGAAGATAAAAATACGTTGAAAAACAACGAAGTTATAAATTTTTTTCTGTTAATTGCCCTATTGTTCCTATGGCAGCTATAAGATATAGTCGCCCGATTTTCATAAAATTAAATACGAAATTCTGAAATAATAAAAAATGGCTATATCTCAAAGAAGATAAAAATACGTTGAAAAATAACGAAGTTATAATTTTTTTTCTGTTAATTGCCTGATTGTTCCTATGGCAGCTATATGATATAGTCGTCCGATTTTCATAAAATTTATATAGAAATTCTGAAATAATATAAATTGGCCATATCTCAAAAATGGTGCAAAAATGTTAAAAAACAGCCAAGTTATAATATTTTTTCCAAAAATGTATCGAACATTTGTATGGCAGCTATATGATATAGTCGTCCGATCCGGCCCGTTCCGACATATATAGCAGTGAGAGTATATAGAAGACTATATGCAAAGTTTCATTCAGATAGCTTTAAAACTGAGGGACTAGTTTGCGTAGAAACGGACAGACGGACAGACGGACAGACGGACAGACGGACATGGCCAGATCGACTCAGCTGTTGATTCTGATCAAGAATATATATACTTTATAGGGTCGGAAAGGTCTCCTTCACTGCGTTGCAAACTTCTGACTGAAATTATAATACCCTGCAAGGGTATAATAAATGAGTTTTGTGTGTGTTGTTGTTGTCTTAATTGCACAGAGGGGACACTAAAAGGAAACTATGAATGAAAAATAAAAGAAAAAAATTAAATATGGAATACATTTTGAAGGAAAATTATTATTAAATTAAGATAAATAAAAATAAAAGAAATTTTATTTAACATATTTTCTTCAATTTTCAATATATAAAATCATAATTAATTAATTAGATTTAAATACTTATTTTTTCATAAAAAACCGGTTAAACAAATTAAATTATAATAAGTTATATTATGTTTTATATTAATTAACATATAATTTAAAGAGATATTTATTTTAAAAAAACATTTTAAAGGTTTATAAAATTTTTAATTAAGTTTAAAGACATTTTATTGTATATTTCTCTTGTTTTAAATATGTAAAAATTATATTTAATAGCAAAAATATTTGTTAATTTTGTACAATATAAAATTATGTTAGTTTTTTCCGGTCTCCACTGTACTTGGGTTTATAGTGGGGCCTAAAAATAGTAGACGCCGGCGGCAGCCACCACTCGGGAAAATTCTTGAAGAGCCGTTTTTGGGAAATTCCTTACCGAAAAGTTAAATATGGCCAAAAAGAGATTTGCCGCTGTTTATCCACTATTCTGGGTGTGTTGTTGTTGTGTGTGTTTGTAAAAACAAGGTGAAATTGCTTTTGAAGTGCGCCTCTTGTTTTTCTTTGGCTTTTCCACAGTCCGACAAATGATTGCTTCATCAGGGAGCTTAAAGAAAATAAAAGTTTCTGGGGGATGTTATGGGTTTTTATTTTATTTATATTTTATTTTTTCAATCTAGTTAATGAGGAATGCTTATTGATTTTCAATCGCTTTTCCAACATTTTCCAGTCTCTTTGTGGTTGTTGTTTC